ATCAATAATTATATATCAATTATATATAATAATTATATATCATATACAGTAAACACAGTATAATAGTAAACACAGTAGATGTACGTCGTGATTTATATTCAACTAAAAAAATTTGTAATTGCTTTTGATAAACAATAATTAATAATTAATTTTGTGTTGTAAGACAGGAATCACGAAACACCTAAAATGTGGATTAAATGACAGATATAAATGGCTGTAAGCAAAATCACATCTTCGTGACGTCGGCCGGTAAAATTGTCTAGCGGACTTACTTATACGTGACAGTGATCGTCAAATTGTTAAATTTCATCCTTTCAACTTATAAGAAAAGAATGATAGAGATTTAAGATAAATCTCTATAATTCATAATAATTTAATCGGTATTTTCCGCTATAATATTTCCGGTATATATATATATATATATATATATATAAAGCTATATATAGACATATAAAAGCAGTTTAACAAATAGAATTCTTTTCCTTCTTTGGCTTCATCAAATTCGTTTGTGATCTATTATACATTTTGTTGCAATACTTGCGCGAAACGGTATCCAATTCTGCGATATTATTATCTCGGAATTATTGTCCGCGCAGTTCGATGCGAGTTATGCCATGATAATAATAAGATTGCTTAAGAATGTGAGACGCTTCGACGGAATTCCAATGTTTATTGAATTAAACATCGAGAGATGCGCGGCAGGGTCGATTTTAAAATTATTATCACAACAGTGACAAATAGCGACATATTATTGGATATATGCTTATTGAAATTAAATCGGATTAAACGCAAACAGACTTTTGGTATTTTATATTTATATTGTTTATCGTTGACATCAATTTTAGGCTATCTTGTGTGTTCCTTTCTTTTACTAATTAAATGTAAATTTATTTGGCTGGATTCAGACCATTAAATTTGATATTTTTAAATCTGTTGAGAAAGAAGACACGGTATTTCGATTTTTTAATAAAGCAGTACCATAAAAATAAATATTTCAATAGTGTTGCACTGTTGATGAAGTTAACGAATAAATAAATAGATCTAATGAATATATAAGCTATAAATAAGTAAATAGATAAAATTAATAATTATAATAATTCGAAATAATAATAATTACAAGTACATACAAACTGTACACGTATTTTCTTCATTAAATTTAATTAAATAAAATAAATTGTAGCAACTAAACAGCAGCAATAAAATACGCACATTGTTTTTATTTTTATAATATAAATTGGCTATTAACTGACTTAATTATTATTTGTAAAATTTAATTTTGTTATATGTAATGGTAATAAAGAATTTATTCAAAATTGATTAATGTGAGTTGGATTTCTTAAAATTATACATTTTAATACGCTGCTTGGCTTTATATTTTTTACGTTTTAATTTTGTAATAATTTTATAATTATTAAACCATATAACCTGATATTTGTCAAAATGCACTACTTTTACTTCTCTCGTAGCACGAAGTGAACCAAGCGAGAAAATTAACTAACATCATGGAAAGGCAACAATAAAACCTTTTACACGTTTTCAAGAATGAAAAGACATTGTAAAATGTAACTCTAAAATATAACATTATACCTGTTTGTTAATTTGCAAAATACAAATGTTTAAATAAGGAGGAATTTCCAAGTGCTGACCTGAAAATATTTACCGAGTCTCACAAATGCACATCGCATATGCAGAGTCCTCGACGAAGATATAAATATTTTTGTAGAGAATAAATTAGCATCAGAATGTATCACTTCGTCGAGCAAGAAATCCTTCTGATATGTCCATTGTAATTTTTTACTTCTCTTAAAACGGAAATTTCGCCAGTAATTTCTTATGATCTCCTGCGAGTCACCGTGTAAATGTTATTTACCATTTTGAGTATGCGCCAGATTCCGCCCGTTTGCGGAACGGCGGTGCATCGTGAGACCTGTAAACCGCGATGTGCACGCATATACGTAACATACGCGAGCCTGCCGCGCGTAATAATTCAGCGCACCGTAATAACGAGTTGCTAACCGGCTAATGAATAACCGGTGGAAATTAAACAGCTTGTAAATCGAGTTTCGAGCCCGGATATTTGCGGGACCTGATTGCTCGTCCTCGGATAGATGAAGGTGATGGATAAAAAAAAAAGTTATTGCGCATTCACACGGCGACACGCGCGATTATCATGCGAGTACCGTTCAAATTTAAAAGATGAATTCAGCTTTGCTGTTTTCTGGTGGTGCAGAGACAGTTTTAATTATGTCATAAATCTATAAATATTTAACTATAATATGAGATAGCCAGAATATGAGATAAATAGATGACGATTTAATAAAAGTTAGTAGCCAGAATATGAGATAAATAGATGACGATTTAATAAAAGTTAGTTCGCGTATTAATTTTTTTAAAATATTATAAATTATATTAGACAGCTGGGATAATAATGAAGCGATATGTGAGTGATAAATATAATAAATTTCTTTCTCAATTTTACAAAAAACAGCAGTCGAACCGGTTAGTAAGAAATATAGAGAATAAAAAGGCTAATGAAAGTACCTGCAGCGCCGTAAGTCAAGCGCAATCAGAATATGTATAAAATATATTTTAATTTATATTACTTATTAAATCCATGGAGTTTAGTAGACAACAACAAGTTACAATCTTTCAATCTCGGATGAACTGAGCTGAACCACTTTCCAGGTTAATTGCCAATTCCAAAAATAGTATCGTTCATATTTAAAAGATAGAAATTAAGCCAAAACATTTAAACTCGATGGATTTAAGCAATGTAATGTAAATTAAAGTATACTTTAAGTAAAAGATACGACTTGACACGTCTATTGTCGCATATGATCATTTTGTTTTATAGAATATCAGTTTTAAAGTTTTATTTATGGCTTCTGACTACTCAACCACAAACTCTATTGACAGCAGGAATTTAGAACTTTGTCCATCGTACTAAGGTTTGTTTTATAATACGTCGTATGTTGGAATTAACC